GGTAATCCCAGAAAGGGACTGAAACCATTTCCTGAATTGTTGAGAGTAAGTAGCCACATCCTCTAGACTTTTGACACTGGTCACTGTTTAGATTCAAGGAGAATGTTAAGTGTGTCACAGACTAAATAAAAGAAGCTACTGACTTTAAAGTCAGATGGACCAAAAGAAGTGTTAGGATAAAGAAGTACCATGGCAACTACATGTACACAGAAGGCTGACTCAAAAACCAACTGTACCTTCACAACTTGGCCTGTGATTTACCTGTGCTGTGCAGAGAATCACCAGGGCTGGAAAGGAGCTCAGAGACCATGGAGTGCCAGCAGCACCAGCAGCTCCCTGTGCTCTCTGTGCCTCTGTCCTGGGGGCAGAGGGCAGCAGGCTGCCCATGACAGCAGTGTTTGCTGCCTTGTTTCTGTGTGTACATTGACAATGGGGGCCAACTCTCTCCCTCCTTTGGTGCTTTTTTAAACCAGATTATGCAGGCAGAGACCAAAGGAGAGATTTCTGCCTGTGGAGGAACTGTGGAAAGGGGTGAATTTGTACCCAATACCCACAATGAAACATCTCAGTGGCCAGAGCAGGGCTGTGACACAGACACTGCAGGGCAGTACCGTGGTGCTCAATCATCAGTGCAAAGGCATTCCCTCCACACCTCCTCCTGCAAGTCAGATCAAACCTGATAAAGCAGGAATGCCCAACAGTGACTGCACTGCCCTCATCTCTAACTGCTATTGAGGAGCACAGCAACCACAGCTCACAGCTGGCAGACAAGGAATCAAACCCCATTTTATGGAGCAGACATCACAAAGACCCTAACCTGAATTTCAGTGACCACAATAAGCAAGAAAGAGTTTGTCCCACTCTGCCTGAATGTGACTGGTATTAACAAACACAAAGCATGGAAGTGGCCATGCAGTTGAGTTTTCTGTATCTGAGAGCACAGCCATTTCCTTCTGATAGCCTAGAAAAGACAGGATTTCTATGGAAAAGAAACAACCAGATATATAAATGGATTACAAAGCTGGTGACTGCTTGATAAATGGAGCTAATTTCAACATTAGTTGAGCTACATGGGAAGTGAAAGAGCAAGATTGACCTCAGTTGGCACAAATGTTGGTCAACTGTTGCCCATATCCATCCAATTGAACATGGACACTGCAGGAAAACCTCATGAAGGAGCCCTTTGGAGTCAGCAGGGCTGCAGCAGTGTGAACAGGACCCAGATCTAATCCACCATATTCAGTTAATACTGCAATGAAATAAAAAAGGTCTTTAAAAAACCCATACAGTTGTATGCTAGAAAGAATCTTGAGTACTAGACAAGTTGTCATTTACCCATGCTTGACATAAAATGTTGCTCAAGATTAACTACAGTTATTTCCTGTTCTACATCTAGAGGAGCACTGCCATAGGTAACACAAGGACTTTCACCAGCAGTTAAGATTCTTAGAAAGTCCTTAAAAAATCTGAATACAACTGTCACAGGTTGGAAGCTGCAAGTATTTGTAAGCAGTTAAAAAGCTTGGATCTTGTGACTGAAGTATTTATAGAAATATTTCTTTCTACTTCCTGCAGTACACCAGCATGTGAAAAATCAGTAAATTCACTCTTTAATTGGACACAACTGCAGTGACTCCCCCAGGGAGTCAAACAAGCCCTGCTCCTCCCTCCCTCCCAGTGGAGGTGGGGTTGTGGTACTGGACCCAGGGGACAAAGGGCTGAGACACAATTCTGGAAGTCAGAGGTGCCCTGTGCTGGATCATGACATTCATCCTGGCATTCATACATACAAGAATTGATCCAAGACAAGCACACCCCACTGCCAGCCCACACCTGCATCCATGTGCAGGTTTTTCACCCAGAACATTGTGCCAGCTGATGGAAACCAAATAAAACATGCAGGTCTGACCAAGCCAGCTACCTCATTTTTGATCCAGCTCCTGGTCTGGCTATCCAAGGAGGACTTGGGTTAAAACCTAAGAGCAAATTACAAGCGGTTGTGTGGGTTGCAAAGGAAAGAACAGACCCACAGAGTTGAAGTTTCTAAGAGATAAACACTGTTATAAAATGATAACCTTACTGAAAACAATGCAAATTTGTGTACAAGACTGATAAATATCCTGAAGCATTACAAGAAATAGCACAGAGTTGTAAAAGCAGGAAATAGTTGCATTTTCTATACTGCAGCACAGCAACAGAAAGGATCAGCTTCTCAAATCACAGCAGGAAGGGGAAGTGGCCAACCTGCCTGGCAGGAGATGTAGGAAAGGAGTTTAGGTGAAAGCCAAGGAAAGAGCACCGTGGGTGATCTGGAATTGTGCAGATGATACATTTCTCTCATGTAAGTAATATTAATGAAGTAGTAACTGTGAGTTTAGCACCTATCAGTTAATAGTATTAATTATGGTAAGATACACATTTCTTTGTTAGAATTGCTGTTTCAAGAAAAGGTAGACCTGGGCTACCTGTTTGAAGGGATCCTTTTAGATCCACCTTTCAGTGCCTCACTTCTTAGAGGGAAGCTGCTGGGTTTTCAATGGAACATTTTTATCTGGAGTTTCCAGTAATTAAATGTGGGCATTTGTAGGAGAAGATTCAAGTAAAACTGATCCAATCCACTTTAATGGTATGAACATTTTCAAAGGTAGAGATGGCTCTGTAGCTTACCAAATTTGTGTAGAAAATTTGTCACAGCAGAGTGCTGAATTACAGCATTGCAGAAACTGAAGCTGTCAGGGCTATCAGTGAAACCAAGAAATGAATCTCTGCATGGTGGGACAAGTACATGGCTGAACAGCTATGGAATGTACAGCACCACTGACTATGGACAGCTGCAATTCCTACTCATCTTCGGCTCACCAAAAATATACAAGTTTTAAAATGGAAATCTAAGGCACACAAAATACCATAATGATTTGATGTATACTGTATATTACATAGTCAATAAGCATAAAACTGCTGGTACAAAACAATGGCATAATATTGGTTCTGTTTCATCATTATTTACAATCCCTTCATATCCTCTATCTGAACTAATATTAAGCTTTGAACTAAAATTTGCAGCATACCCGGTTTTTACAGGTTTTACTTAAAATAGGTAAGATACAAAGAACTGGTTCAATTCCTCCACCCTCTGCCATTAACAGCTTTGTCAATTAGAGCAGGAATCTGCAGAACTGAACCCAGGATCATGACATGGTGATTGCTACTCCAGCCCTGGCTCCAGAGGAGTCTCCTGGATCTGCACCGCACCAAAGGATTTGTAGCACCAAGGTCCTGCCTGGCTCTGTGTTCCAAACACGGATGCACTTCTCGTACCAAACTGCAATGGAGTTCTTGCACTTCAGCTCCTCAAGGAAAAAAAGCACCTTGTCTTTAAATAAAGCAGATCCAGATAGTCCATATTCCTCTATACAGCACCACTAGAGTATAATATTATCAAGTATATGATTAGTATGTCTCCACACTGGCAAAGTGACTTCCTTGTGCCTGCAGGGTGAGGCAGAGGAGGGGTCAGCTGTGGCTGTGGCCTGATCCAGCACCAGGGACCCTGGGGTCAGGGCTCCTCCTGCCTCCAGCCAGCTCGCATGGAAGAAGTTGCAGGATGAGGTCAGTCCTTAGCTAATGTTGTCATTTGGTAATTGGTTTAAATAAATAAGTTTAAACAAGAAATACATAGGAAAGGAGAATCAGAAAGAAGAGTGGGATGCTACAGTATTTAAAAGCAATGGAGTGTCTGTTTTTCCTCTGGTTTAGCAAATACTCGTTTTGTGATATGTCACTTTCTCAACAGAAATGAAGAACATAAATTTCAAGGAAGATTGCAACCTTCTCCATGTCAAATGTATAAATTGCTTCAAAAATTTACAAAACATTTTTGTAAAAAAACTGAACTCAGAAAGTTGGTGAATATAACAGATAGGTTATTCTTAACAAAAACTTTGCTGCTAAATATTAGAAATTTGATTGTTTTCCAACACTTCCTTCGTATTTTTCCCAAATTTTTTTTTTCTATCAGAATAGAGTAAGGCAACTCTAGGGGGTAGCTTTTTATCCCAAAACAATCCTAGCCCTGAGGCATTAGGAACATTTGGTTGCCATGTTAACTTAGAAGGCTGCAAACAAATGAGACTGATGCACTTATTGCTCAAAGAAACCATAACAAATGCTGCCTTAAAAAACCAGGTAATATTCTTAACTCCCAATAGCAACACACATATTGACCAGACATCTCCTCTTTCACGTTTGTACACTCTTGAAAAAGAATAAAAAGGTTCTATAATTCATAACTGCTTGTTTATATGCAACATAAAATCTTCAGTGAAAAAGGGCAAGTTGAAAACAACCACATATGCTGTCAGCATACATCCTGCACCTGTAACACCATGGAACTCTGCACAGCAAGAACAAAATCATTTCTTCTGTAGAGTATGCACAAACCTTAGACAATATGATCCTTATACTATACTATTTCAAGTTAATTTTAAAAATAGAAAGTGCTTTTAAAATATATATTTACAGCTTAGAAACAACTTCCAGCCATCATTACCAATAACTTCATTCTACTGACGAATCTAAAGAACAAAATTAGTTGGTTTTCTAAAAGATTTGTCTGTAATTTGGACTATATAGCAATGGTTGGAAGTTGTTAAAGCAATGGCACCATGAAGTAATAATTCAGCTTATTTATTTTTAACTGTTTGATGTGGTTAAGCACCAAGAGCTGTGTAGAGCTATAACTGTATAACTTGATTTAACACCATAAAATGTGAACCTGTTAAAATAGCTATAAATGATTTCTGTAGTAAACAGACGATTTAAAGCACCAAAATATAAATTCCTAAAGGTAATAAACTGAATGATTCAATCAAGGTTAATAACCTAACCAAAATCTTTCTTTAGAATGTATTAAAACTATACAACTTTTTTTTTTTGCTTAAAATGTGCTTGAGCACCACCAAATGTTAAAGTCACAGTTTAAGAAGAAATCCCCCCCCCTTTTTTTTGTTTTTACCTCAGCCTTAAAATGGTTGAGATGAGCAAAGAGTAAACGACACGAGACTTGTTCTGTATGAGCACCTGAAAGCACCAGCGTGACTGCACCGGGCCCACGGACGCTACGCCCAGTGGTTGTAGGGCCCTGCCACTCGTGTCAGGGCGTACGAAGAGACTGTGATCACGTTATCCTTGGTCACTGTCAATGCTCTGCGGGATGGAATTTGGTTGAACTCGTTGTCTTCATAGAAAATATCTCTGCTTTCACCTGGCTGCTTTGCTTTCCTGTTGCTGGAGCTCAGTTCGGGGTTCTCCGGTCCCAATCGTTCTGCCTCTTTTTCTTTTTCTCGCGCCCTCTCGGCCATCTTTGCTTCCCACATGGCTAAACCGTGTTTTGGCTCATTTAAATTTTTGTGTTGGTAAAAAACTAAAGAAATTCTCGTGGGATGATTGCGGTTGGGTTTTTTAATTGGTGTGGTAGCATGGAGCTCACGCCTCGCACATTCAATTAAGATGGAACCATGAGAAGGTGCCACAGCAACTCCACCAATGTCATCATCCAAAAAATTGTGCTCGCTGTCTGACCACAATTCCTCAGCCTTTTCTTCAGAATCAGCTGCCTGTCCCAGTGCACTGCTTTGCTTTACATCAGCACAGTCAAAGTCACAGCTCTGTCCCCCATGGGAGCTGCCCTTTTCCACTGGGCATCCATGGGAGCAGTCGGCCGCGGGTCCGAGGGCATCCTGTGCCAAAGAGCTCGGTGGGAGCGCTGAGTCACAGGAGCTGCTCAGCTCTGAGGGGGCAGAGGTCTCCAGCTGAAGCTGACAATTCTGTTTGTCTGGCTGCTGTTCAAGTAGAGTGGGCAGGGGCTCTTTGTGGGCTGGGGGGCCTGGAGCAGTGACCTCGGGAAGAACGGGTGGCACGCCGTTCACCTTCTCATCCAGCACAATTCCAGTACAATCTTTCACTGACACATCAAAGCTCTTGCAGTTAACATAAGGTGGCACGTGAGGTTGCTTGGTACTGCATTCAAAATACCCGTAGGGAACTGAAAAATCTTGTTCAATATTAGTCACTGCAGCTAGGCCAGACTTGTGTGCGAGAGATGGGTAAGGATGTAAACCATCCACCTTGAAGGGGGAGGAAGCCGTGTACTGCTTCAGTAAAGAGCAATTTTTAGTAGTGTTTGAAGTATGTTTCATGGCATAAAGGTGGTTGGAAGGCTCCATTTTTATTCCAGCTTTTAAAGCATCTGCTTTGTTCCCTAGAAGAAATGCACACCAAAGTTTAAGTACTTTTCAATCACTAAAATACCTCCCTTATATTTGCATACTTGCCTTCTAACAGGAAAAATGCACATTGACTACAGATTTTTCAAAATTATTATTTTTAGCTTTCTAGGAGTATCTCTATGATTGTACACATCTATATATATATATATCTCACATATATACACATATATCTATTTCATATATATATATGTGTGTGTATAAAATAACCTTGCTCAATTAATGCCTTAACCTTTTCCAGTCAGGCTGCTGGTATATAAAATAGAAAGATATTTCACTGAGGGATGAAGAAAACAAACAGAAAAAATTAAATAACCACTAATTCCCAATTCACACAGCCCAGGCTTACAGAAATGCTTCCCAGCAGCTGACTGCTGGCCTTCAGTGTTTGCATCATGGATGAAATTCAGTCTGAAATTCAGCCTGTGAATCAGTTAAAATTCTGACCTGCCTTAACCCCACATTATGATCAAAGGAAAAAGTATGTTTATGGATCTTGTCCATCACAGCAAAAACTGAATTACAGTGACTCATGCATTCCAATACTGACTCAGAAATTGCCTTAAAAAAAAGTATCTGGCAACATGCTCCAGGTAAACCCATCCTTGTAAAATGGATTTTGAGTCATGTGATTTGGCTGCCTTGCATCTTTCCATCTCATTGCCTCATTATTTCAGGTCTCTGTGCAGGCATCCTTGTTCAGTTTCTGTCAGCCCTTAACCAGTTTGCAGCCATGGCTGCCTCTGCTGGGCTGGATTGGGAGCAGGCTCCTCTCAGGACTGCTCTCATCATGGGCAGCTTCAGCCCAGAGCCCATGGAATCAAGAATCCCATTGACTCTGCTGGCTTTGCACCATGCCCTGCCATGGCTGTACATGTGTTCTGCTGGCACCCCACAGAGCTCTTGCTTGCTCTCATAGAGGACTGTCAGTGTTTCTTTATTCCCTAAATACACAGAATGGTTAATTCCCTAAATACACAGAATGGTTGTTTTACCCAGTGTAGAAGCATAATTCTTTCTTCTACTCTGTCTCCTAGTAATTTATAAATCAGTGATGAATTAAAAACATTCCTCCCATAGGAATGCAGAAAAGTCAAAGTGGGATAATGACAGGCACAATAGTTAGTATGCAGAAACTGAAAGCTGTATGGGGACATGAGGAGGCCACATCAACTCTATAAAAACCCTTCTATGAAATAAACCACAAAGTGTTTAATGACTTAAACAGCCCCCACCCCAGGGCAAGGCCTCTGCCCTGAAGATTTTAAACACAGCATTTGAGAATTGCATTCTCCATCACCTCAGGAGAGAGATTATTCTGTGAAAATAAGTTTTAACAACCCTTAGCACTCAATTATGGATTCTGTGAAAATAAGTTTTAACAACCCTCAGCACTCAATTATGGAACTGTAGCAAATGGATTTTATTTGTTTTTTAAATGTTATCCCCCCAAAATGCAGATACTCTTTGAAACACATTTACCTGTTATTCCTCCCCTTAAAAATGCTATCTAGGTCTGTGTTCCAGATTGCAAGGCAAGAGTATTCTATTCCCATCTGTATGGCAGATTATCTTTTATCAAGTGGGCAGCTTGCCTGATCTCTCTGAGTGATCACAATCACTCCTCCCTTGGGATGGGACATCTGCTGATAACAGACTATGGAATGTCCCTGCATGGCTGATAAGAACTGCAGCATCCCATTGGCAGATGGGAGCCCAGAGGGAGGAGCCAAGCATTCCTGCCTGGATAGAATCTGGAGATTCTGGAACACCAGCCAAGCATTCCTACCTGGATATAATCTGGAGATTCTGGAACACCAGCCAAGCATTCCTACCTGGATATAATCTGGAGATTCTGGAACCCCAGCACAGCTTCTGCACTGGATTGCCCAGAGGAACAGCAGCTGCCTCTTGCCCTGGATCTTCAGAGGCAGAGACTGCACCTTTCTCCAGGATCCCTGCTCCAACAGAACCACCCCTGACACTGCAGGAGGGCTGAGCCACATTTCCAATGGTTCTGCTGCCAACACCCTGACCCACAGGGTGTCAGGCTGGGTTCTGACTCTGTCAGTGCTGTTTTGGTTCACTGCATTGTTTATTTTATCCTTTGATTTTCTTCCCTATTAAAGAACTGTTATTTCCTGCTCCCATAATTTTTGTTGCCTGAGAGCCCCTTACTTAAAATCCATAGCAATTCTGAGGAGGGGGGGGTTCATTTTCTCCATTTCAGGGGAGGCTCCTGCCTTCCTTAGCAGACTCCTGGCTTTCCAAACCAAGACAGAAATGAAATTCAAAATTACAGCAGATGGGCCAGTTTTCCTCTCTTCTTCCTAACAGGCTGTGCTTTAATTGTATTTATTTTTCACCTGCTAATCAGAGAGTTTAAGTTCACGGCTTCTTCCACATCTTCCTTCTTTTCTGCTTCTCAGGACTGGCCAGTCCCATGCAGCAGCCCTTCCCTGGAGGCCTGACCCAGGATGTGACACCAGGCACAGCCCAGACTGGCACAGCGCAGCCCTGGCACAGCCCAGCCTGGCACAGCCCGGCCCTGGCACAGCCCAGCCCAGCCCTGGCACAGCCCAGCTCTGGCACAGCCCAGCCTGGCACAGCCCAGCCCTGGCACAGCCCAGCCCAGCCCTGGCACAGCCCAGCCCTGGCACAGCCCAGCTCTGGCACAGCCCAGCTCTGGCACAGCCCAGCCTGGCACAGCCCAGCCTGGCACAGCCCAGACTGGCACAGCCCAGCCCTGGCACAGCCCAGACTGGCACAGCGCAGCCCTGGCACAGCCCAGCCTGGCACAGCCCGGCCCTGGCACAGCCCAGCCCAGCCTTGGCACAGCCCAGCCCTGGCATAGCCCAGCCCTGGCACAGCCCAGCTCTGGCACAGCTCAGCCTGGCACAGCCCAGCCCTAGCACAGCCCAGCCCTGGCACAGCCCAGCTCTGGCACAGCCCAGCCTGGCACAGCCCAGTCCTGGCACAGCCCAGCCCTGGCACAGCCCAGCTCTGGCACAGCCCAGCTCTGGCACAGCCCAGCCCTGGCACAGCCCAGCCCTGGCACAGCCCAGCCTGGCACAGCCCAGTCCTGGCACAGCCCAGCCCTGGCACAGCCCAGCTCTGGCACAGCCCAGCCTGGCACAGCCCTGCACTGCCCTGCTCCTGGCACAGCCCTGGCACAGCCCAGCTCTGGCACAGCCCAGCCTGGCACAGCCCAGCCCTGGCACAGCCCAGCCCTGGCACAGCCCAGCTCTGGCACAGCCCAGCCCTGGCACAGCCCAGCCCTGGCACAGCCCTGCCCTGGCACAGCCCAGCCTGGCACAGCCCAACCCTGGCACAGCCCGGCCCTGGCACAGCCCTGCACTGCCCTGCTCCTGGCACAGCCCTGCAAGGGCCAAGCTGCACTGCCCCTTGATAAACCTGGGGTTTTCACACAGCTCTTGCTGTGCAGCAGTGTTCATCCATTGACAGGTTCTGAGAAAGCCAAGGTCTGCCACAGGATGTGGAGAACACGGTTCTTGTACTTCAAAGTGACACAAATTCAAGTTGCTTACTTAGGTCAACATTCCAACAACGTTCTTTCAAGATGGTCAAACTGCCATTATTTATTAGAATAAGGGAACTTGGAAATACTTCATAGGTGTTCACAGACCACCAACAAACTATTTTTGGGGGATCACCTGGGGTTTTTTCTGCCCCAAGAGACAACACTGGCTACAGTGACTTGTTCATTAACCCCTAAAATGCAGAATATACAAGTGGTTTATTTTAAAGGGGCTTTTCCCTCCCATCAGATGTGTGAGAGAACATGGAATCAGAACAGACTGGTAGAATTTCTTAAGTATCACTCACCTAAACAATGCAAAGCGTTGCCAAGATTTTCTGGGGCTTCAGTTTTCACTTTTACTGGTGTTGAATATTTTTTATCTATTAATGGCTGCTTTTCACTCGGGGTCCTCCTTGTGTCTGGTTTCTTTTTCTTGGTAGCTCTGAGAGGCTCAGCCAACATCCTCACTTCCCTGGGGAACGCTGTGAGCACCTGGATGGCTCCAGCTTTGATCTTGGCCTCCAGGCCCTCCTCGGTGCCAAACTCATCGGTCTGGGAGATCTTGTACAGGGGCAGCACGTGCAGCTGCTCATCGCTCGGGATCACCCCCACTCTCCTGTTGTCCTCCTTGGTTAGGGTGCACACCTGCCAGGAGCACAAGGGCCACAGATCATCCACAGCACAAAGCAGCAGTTAATAAAGGCTCAGGCACTCATCCTAGGCTTCACTGCTGACTCCTGCTCTGTGCCTCAACACCGTGGGGCTTTCAAATGCAAACATCTGACAAATAATTTGACAAATTATTTGTCAGACAAATAGTATGATCTGTGATGACACAGAAAAATTGTTATACTTTAAGACCAAGGCACATGTCTTGGACAAGTGAAATTTTGTCTCAGCTTTCAGTATGCCAACCTTGGTAAATAATCTCAGCTGTAAATATACTGTAAAGTTCCTAAGCATATTGATTTTTTTTTAAAAAATACATAAATACATCATTGATGTTCAGATTAATTCTTAAGGATTATAAAATATGAAAAATTATTTTTGCATTAAACAAGAAGTGCCTACTGGAATTTATTCTATGATTTGGAATTAGTTTTGGTTTTTGTTTTGGCTGGTAAATAAAAAAAAAACCCAAATCAGCACAGTCACTCATACTGCTCTGTAAGTTTTGCAAATCTCAGCTCTAACTCCCTCCCTCCCTCTCTCAACACTTTCTTAAATCAACACCCTGCTGTAATTAACTCACAGGACCCAGGAAATGTTCCTTTAGGCCACTGCCCTACTTCCTGTTATTGTGAGATGCTGGAGCCCAGAGCAGAGTACTGATCATATCCAGTTTGATGAGCTCACATCAGAAATGCCATAAATATTCCAACCTATTGCAATAGTTTTCTTGTTGTCATTACAAATGCTGAACATTTCCAGCACTCCTTGAGTTCCCATCCCCCAGAAAGCAGCACTGACACTGGCACTACAATCCCTGGCATCATTCCCAAGGGATGGCAACAGCTCCATGTGCCTGAGCTCTGGTACAAACATTCACCTTCTGCAGCTCTGGCACCTCCATTCCCAAGGGATGGCAACAGCTCCATGTGCCTGAGCTCTGGTACAAACATTCACCTTCTGCAGCTCTGGCACCTCCATTCCCAAGGGATGGCAACAGCTCCTGTTGTGTGCCTGAGCTCTGGTACAAACATTCACCTTCTGCAGCTCTGGCACCTCCATTCCCAAGGGATTGCCACATGGCTGGAAAGCCATGCATGGATTCCATGGCTGAGGGAAGCTGCTGCTCCACTGGAATCACTAACTACACACAGAAAGGAACAGGAGCACCATCCAAGGATGGGAATATATTCCCTAAATGGAAGCTTGGCATTCCATCATTCTGCAGGCTCAATCTGACACCTATCATAAACAGTCAATCCAATTTCCCAGAATCTTGTCACCATTCCAGGGGAGAAGAATGTTATTATTTAGGGGATGAAAAAAACCCAAACATTTTTTTTATTTCATAGCACAGCTTTTGCATAAAGGCATCACACAATTATTTCTAGAAAAATAAAAGTACAGAAACACAAACTAAAAAATCCTGAACCAAAAACGTGGTGGCTTGGGCTTTATCAATAGCTCTATGCAAAGCTTGGCAGTTGCAGAGCAGCAAGAGAAGGAAATCTGAGGGGCAGAGAGGAGGAAGAGCTTTTCAGGAGGCAGTTGGAAGGATGCAGAGGGGCTCCAGGGCAGTTAGCAGCTGCTTTGTAGCACTCACTGAGGTACTCACCTCCTCTGGGCAGCCTGTGCACGAGGAGGCAGGTTTAGAAAAAAACAGAAGTTGTTCAGTGAGCAGGGACTGCACCTTGCTGCCTGTGGGCTCTGCCAGCCACATTCCCACAGCCCAGGCCCAGCAGGGCTCCTGCTCCCACCCTGCTTGGGCACCTCCTCCCTGCATGCAGCCCCCCAGCTCACTCAACAGGGACACTGCACAGCTCACAGCCTCCAAACCCCAAAGACAATTCTGTTCCTGCCCAGTTCAGAGACACCTGGCTGAAACTGGCCAGCAGATGCCACTTTATTCAGGAAGGGTGAGAGGGTTGGACATACAGAGAGCAGGATTATATAGGAGTGATGTTTTTAGAAAGCCAGTGCACTCTCCCTGTGGGAACCCAGGGCATCCCTCTGGCTGTCCAGGACAGCCCAGACCCCTGCCAGGGGGCTCAGAAACCCTGGCACAGAGCCCAAAACCCCTGTGGGTTTGATTGTGACCCATGGAGCAAATTACCAACCTTAGATGAAGATCAGCAAGCCACAACAGTTTAGGCAGAACAACAGTGAATTTATCACAAGGTGAAAAAGTAGATTTTAGGGTTTTTGGTATGGGGGTTCAGGGGGCAAGATGGAGGGAACTGGGCATGTCCAGCCTTTCTCCTTCTTCTTCTTGGCCTCCACCTTCTGCTGTGATGGTGGCACTTTTGGATTGGTTTAGAGTAGAAGCTCAGTGTCTAACACAGGTGATGAGTATTGGGAAGTTATTGTAAATATTGTACAGGTAGTTTTTAGTATAAAGACATAACCCTGCCCTGGGGGCAGGCAGAGTGCCTGGAACTGTCCTGCTGGACGGACCTCAGCAGGGTAGGAGAAAATTTTTTATAGATAAGAAACAATAAACAACCTTGAGACTGAGAAATGAAGAGCCCCGACTACTTCTTCAAGCACCAGGCTGGGAAAAGAGACTTTTAACATTCTGAGATTTCCCATTCTAAATTAAACAAAAGCTGTAATAAAGTCAGCATGGAGGGGCCTGGCTCCCTCTTGTTTTCATCAGAAAATGGGCAGTGGTCTTTTAGAATACCATGTCCAGCCTGTGTCTGACCCAGGCACTAGTCTGAAAGAAGTCTTGAAGATTCAATCCCCAATATTTATTAATTTGAAAATTGAGACCCTCAACCAATTTACAATTATAAATTTCCATGCGAAAGTGAACATCCCGTGGAACAAGAAAGATGAAAAACTGTTCTGAGGAACTGAACAAGATGAGTGCTGTACTATATAGAGAAAAATATGGTGAAAGTACTGTCAACTCCAGCACACCCTGGATATTAAATACTGACTTCAAAGACACATTAGGAAATTAATGTATAACCAAAATTGTATCCAGATCTGAAGACCAGAACATCTACAGCCTAAATACCATAACACCAATTTTAATACATATACACTTTCACAGTTAGTGCCCCTTTAATATATTTTAACATAAAAGTGAGGGTGCTAGGGCAAACAGATAACTGAAAATAATGATATGAGAAAACCAGCCATAAATTAAGGCAGTACAGATTAGCTAAAAACTTACAGCTAAAGCTGGTAATCATCAAATGAGAAATATCTGCTTAAAAAAAATACTCCAATATTCAAATCTGTGCAAAATATTCCATTAAGAACTTAGGAGCCATTGCTGAGAAGTGAAAAGCAGAATTTTCCATTGGTGCTGACACTGCTGCAAACTGAGCAAAATGAAACACAAACATGAGAAAGCCATCAAGTCTGTTAAAGGCCATTTACAGCATGAAGCTGCATATCCTGCTACTTTGCTTTTTCCACAACAGGCAGCTAAATCATCCAGGATGCTCAAAGGCCAAAGAAGTGTTGGCCAAAAGGTTTGTTTAGGTTTCCAATGTGCTTGCTGATCAAACTCATTACCTATTCTGGGTTTAGTGATGTCATGGTAAAAGTTGCATGTTTATGAAACTTGATTACTATTCCCTTCATTTAAACTTAAAATGCACCAGGAACTCAGTGCAATCCCCCCCAGACACCCATCTGTATCCACCCAGCTTCCAATGTGTTATTCTGGCTCTCTTTGATGTGCTGTGTCCTCTTGAACCTCACACGCAGGAATGATGGAGCCTTTTCCACTGTGTTGTAATAACAGATGTTTCCCATTCAGGTTTCAGCAGAGCAGTCAAACAGCCTTTCCAAACCTGGCAGATGGGATCAGGTTTCCTGCACACCCCTCCCAGAGCAGCTGGAGACTCACTGGGTGCCCCTGGGGGCTCAGGGACTGCTGCAGCCCTGCCCACCACGATGGATAAAACATCATCTTTGCTTTTCCTTTGCAGCCAGGACAAACCACATTGTTCTCTTGGCCTGCTCTACCCTGAACAAGTGTATGTAGGTCAAAACCAGAGAAGGGAAGCCCAAACATCTCTTCCTTTTGCCCACTTGATGCCCCCAGGCTGTGCCACCAGACAGGTGACACAGGTACAGCCCAGAACTGCTCCCTGGAGCTCACAGGTCAGCAGAGTGAACCTCTCATGTCTCTCCATCTGCACAATAGGAAAACCTAACAGAAATTCCTCCTTTACAGGCCCAGGGACTCATCTTTCCTCCTGTCTGTGATAAACTGAAGCACCAATTGAAGCACCTGGAGCTGCTGCAGCTCCCAAAGTGAGCAGGGGATGCAGAAAGTGGTGTAACCATGCACAGCCACCCTGTCAGGCACTTTGCAGTGCCAGTGGTGTGATGGGCTGTGCCTGACAAAATACAGCAAGGTCTGGCAAAAAGAGAGGGTTTGGGGGTTTTATCTGAACCCCAAAGAGTTTGTTGACAGACTGGTGATTGTCAGGACTTAGCTCTACTGCCAGGAATGAATTACATGTTGTAGGTGCCCTCAAAGCAGAGATTTATCTTCCTCCCCTTCTTCCCAATGTCTGCTGCAGAAGTGCAGCTGGGCTCTGTCCTTCCTCACCCCAGCACCAAGGGCCCCCTGCCCAAGGATGAGCAACACCCACACACAAGCTGCAGAACCAGCAACAGCCTTTGTGTCCCAGTCACTTTTAAAGCCCAGAAAGAACACTGCCAGTGCCTTAAATGGATTCCCACAGCCATGAAGAACATGACCCTTCACAGCTAATCTGATAAAGAAACAGAAGTACTTACATTTCACAGGCTCCATCAATAACTACAAAGCTTTTATCTGTGTTGCTCATTTAGCTTCATATCCATAAGGAGCATGCACCCTACACTGCAGCTGTAACATACATCAGTGGCCCTTAGGAGAATGTTAAGAGATGACAAAAGAGTCTAAGTAAAAATGAATGGTATATTTATTGCCTAAAAATTCTTTAAAAACTCAATTTGTAGGCAGAAATTATTTTTGCTTCTTTCAGACAAACACATTAGTTTACATCTCTGTAGAACTGTCATTCTACTCCAGAGCAAGCAGGGAGTGTTTGTTTTTAGCCTTCTACCAGAAGCAGTGTCAATTCAGAGCTTGACTCTGCCAGCCAGGAACAATGTCCAGCCACTCAAATCTTCAGTGGTAATTACCATGTAATGGCACTCCCCAGTTTGTGTAAGTTAAGGTCTACTACTCTCTCTTGTATCTCCAGAGATACAAGACACTCCCACTGCTAACACAAATTTTACAGGATGATTAATTTTCAGAGTCACATACAAATAGTGCAGCTGATCAAACACACATACTGAGAAAAATGCAAGAATGTTTTAAAATATATTCTTTTAAGTGTACAGCAAACTTATTCCTTATTATTAACCTCATTTAAGTCCTTTGCTGAACTTGGTTTAAACAAGTCTGTGCCTGGTTTAAACAATTTGAATAGGCTCTGGTTTTCTTTTTCTTTGGGTGGCCCATGCAGAATTCCTGTGGTACTTGCAGTAAAAGTGATTTACCAATGATAAAGGGAGAAAACTAAAAGGTGTCACAATAACAGAGCCAGCAGCATTTGCAATTACCAACTTACAAGGCATTTACTTTAACCTTTTTAGCCTAGAAGAACCTTAGGTTTTATAAATAAAGATTCTGTGTTCCTGAAAGGGGAAAGGGAAGAAATCTTAACAACACTAACAATGGCCAAGATGACAAGTACACCCTGCAGGGACTTCAAAATGTAAGGTGTGACAAGCAGTTAAAAAAAAGTGAAAAATAGTAAAGTCATGATGCTGCAGGTTTCCAGTGCAGTGCAAATTGTTCTCATTCTGTTCATTGCCACATGAGGAGAAAGCAATCTCTGGGAGAAGTGTCACCCCAGAATTGTACCTGCACTCAGTACATTTTACAGACAAAATACCAACAGTTATGCAAATATCTCCTCCATCATAATCAGTCATTTATAAGAAATCATCATGTATTTTAAGCTCTGTAGGCAGTCACAGAGCACCTTCTGGAAGCAGACAGGAATGCAGGAGGTGCTGGTATGCACTAATTTCTCTTTGTGTCCTTACCACATTTCCTATAGTATTACCAGACTTGGTTATAAACCAAAACTAACAACCCTAATTTTGATTGTCATGAAAATCTGGACTGAAGCAGGGCCAGCCTGTTCTGCCACCCTGCTTGCAAAAACCAACATTTTTTGCTTTAGGCTTCCAATTCATGTGAGTGTAACTGTGCAGAGACAGGAACAGCAGACACAGCCCCAGCTCCTCACTGGGGAGGCTGCACAGAGACCATGAGGTAACTCCCAACTCCAATTCACCTTCATAATGTCCCATTCAAGGCAGTAAACTCAAGTGTTGATACTTACAGCTGGTTTCTATTACAAATAGCCCCTTGCTGCAAGGATACTAAAATAAAGAGAAATCCTGTCTAAATAAAGAGAACACAGTATGCAGTATTTATTTGTGAGTGAGCTACCCATGAAAACCAGATTGCAAGGCAGAGTTTTCACCAGTTATGATCAGTTGGTCATGTTCTGAAAAACTGACAAAATTTGGCAGAACTTGGTAGAAGGTGACAGTGATGAGCATACAGTGACCTTGCACAAGTTGTTCCATGCTGCTGGGATGTGGAACCACTTGCAAACACACCACACCCAATCCATGAAGCATCAACACCAGCAAGGACCATGTGCAGCTGAAATGACAGCAGGTCCCTACAGATAAATGCAGTGGTAGAACTATTCCCCAAGACATTCCACAAAAAAGGTTTAATTGTCCCTCCAGCTGCTTCTGGCCAGAACTTAGGACTTTTTTGGGATCCAGTATGGCAAAATGAGTGGCAGACTCAGCTGCTGTTTTGTCTCTCATTTAAGAGGTAATGGAGCACTTAAATTATTAATTACAGAACACCTAAACTAAATTTCATCAAAAAGCATATAATGTAGCTTGTCTGACAAGGAGATCTCATTTTCAAGTTTAGAATCTTTAAGGGTATCAAATTCCTATGTTTCAGAAGTGATTTTGCAATGCATACTTCCAACACTAAGCAAAAATAACAGTCTATTGAGGACTGGCATTCCTGGTGGATTCCCAGAGCTGCTTCCATACTTTAAAAGAATGGACATTTGCTCTCCTTACAAGCACAAAATTAACATTAAAACAACTGTACCACTCATTTCATTGCTGTCACATAGAAATGGACAGTGTTAACTATAGGTGTAAATGCAACACTTTATAGAATCACAGCAACACAATAATTCAGTTTGTATTTCCAAAAAAAAAATTCTAGAGTAAGCAGAGATTTTAGATAGATTTTTTCCAGATATACATCCTTTGATAGAAAAGTTACTCTTGTTACCTGCACTGCTGTACGAGAAGTCACCCTCACTATTCAGAGCACTGTGATGCTCCAACTGCTCAAAGAGTACTGCCAGTTTTATCTTTTCTGCTTTGACCTTGTCTTTCTTCAACACTATGGTCTTAATTTCTCAAAGATCACTTAATTAATTCCCAACCAATTTTCTCCCTGGTAATCCATTAAGGTATATAATACAGCCACACCAATCTGTGGGTTTTTCTTTCATACTGAGATTTAAAGACTGTAATGGTCACTGTCTCCACCACAATCCATACTGTCTGCTTCCTGACCTGTAACCACACTAACAGGGAACCTGGTAAGTGCCCAGTGCAAGAAAGGGTGAATTTGGAGAGCCTGAGGGAGGTGAGTTACTAATTAATCAGTTTGCTTTAGCTCTTCCTCCACAGAGCTCTGTACAGCTCCTTGGTCAGACAATCATTTGCCTTGAACATCAGCCCTTTCCCAGGAAGAATTGATCTGCCCTCTGGCCAGGCCTCCCCAAAGGACCAGGAGTCTTTACAGAATGAAGGCATTTTGTAGGAAGGATCACTCCCATCCCCCTTTTGATCTGTTATGCAATAAAATGAACCCATGTCCTCTGTAGACAGTAACAATTGAGTCTTTATAGAATGAAGGTATTTTGTAGGAGAGATCACTCCCATCCCCCTTTTGATCTGTTATGCAATAAAATGAACCCATGTCCTCTGTAGACAGTAACAATTGAGTCTTTATAGAATGAAGGCATTTTGTAGGAGAGATCACTCTCATCCCTCTTTTGATCTGTTACTCTGATCCCTCTTTTGATCTGTTATGCAATAAAATGAACTCATGTCCTCTGTAGACAGTAGCAAATATATGGAAATAAGATGGGCATCGATAAATGGCAAGCTGCAGTTAATTCTGAACCAGCTGCAATGAAATGAGCCCAGAGCAGCAGCAGCACCCTGGAGGCTGCAGTGCCCGCAGTGAGGGCTGCAGGTACGTACCACAGTGCTGCCGTTGTGCATGTTGTGTGTGTCCTTGTGGGCGTGGGCACAGAAGTCGATGCAGGCGGTGACACCCGAGAAGGGCCGGCCGTCCTTGCAGCCCAGCCGGCAGTCGGGGCCCATGTGCTCGTTTTCCACCTGGAGGGAGAGAGAACAAACTGCAGACACTGAGCACTGAGAGTGTTGGGTGTGCAAGCCCAGCAGGCACCCACAGCTCTGGGACACAATCAGGGCAGCCAGGCAGACTCAGGGATTCGTGTTTTCCTATGAAACATGCAACATCTGTGCCTGGATGCCAACGAGATAATAATGAACCCACAATCAAATGTCTTGGACAGTAACAACATTTTATTTACAGAATTATCTCTAAGCATTTCTCACAGATAAAAATATGGTGCTACTTAAGCACCATGAGTAGTTTAAGCAGCTCAAGTAAAGAGGGGCAGTGTGTGGAAACCTGCCAAATGCACCAGGATTCCAAATGCACAGCCACCAGAACACCCTCTGGGGCTGCTGCTCCCATTGAAACTGTTCAGCAGAGCTGGATCTCACACACCCACCTGGTTCTGGAAAGCTTCTGGAGCAAGCTTCTTATAAACCGGAGCCACATCAGTAGCCAACGTTTGCAAATTGTTTTCAAGAAGTTCCTCCTGCAGGGAAAGGCAACATTTGGTGTTGCAGTTTGCTTTAAAAGAATCTCTGCCAGTTTAGACATGCCCAACAGGTCAGCTTCTACCTCATATTTTATTGAACTGACTTCTGTTCTGCTGCCCTTTGTCACCAACCATAAATGCCTAAACTAAACCATCAAAGCAGTTAAACAGAAATCAGCCAAATAACAATAGAGGATACCTGCTAGGTCAAAGCAACCCAGCACACAGGAACTGATTTCTGCATCCTTTTCCTTATGCAGTCAAGGAGTGAGGTGTGCTGCACACAAAAACACAGAAGTACCATCCACAGGAGAAAAATCACACCCCAAGCTGAGTGGGGATGGAAGCCCAGGTCTTCTGTTGGTGTTTTGCAAATGGGGCCTTAGTCTATGATGACACACCATGTGAGAAACTCCTAAGAGCATTTATTTTCAGCTCTTAGGTCTTCTCTCAGGTACTTTTCTCATTTTCTGATAACTATTTTGGTCTTTGGAGGGGCAAAAATCAGGACTTAATGGAAATAACTACTAGATTCAGAAATAATATTCCCTTTATATGGCTAATCCATATAAACACAGAATTAGCTAGGTGGGCTTCTACAGCAGTGTCATATTTAAGCTCTTATTTGTAGAAACAATCCCTATATTCTTATCCTAAGTTTTTGCTTTTCCAGGAAAATCACCAATTGGGAAAGCAGAGGGCAGTGACAGACTCCCTAATTTCTTTTCCTCCCAGGACCAAGCTTTGAGAGACAACTGCAGCTTCAGTTTCTCACAGTGCATAGTGGCAAAATGAAGCAAGCTGTTATTTGTTATTTTAAAAAACCCACTTATCACCACACACTGTAAACACCAACATAAATACCAGGAGACTTTGCTTTTTTCAATGGGATGTTACATTACAAGATGATGCTGTATTTTTAACTTGTACTAAACCCAGCTTTATCAGCTGTAAATGGCTCCCACAAGGTTTTCTGAACCACAGTGAAGCTAATGTATCCTTAATTATCCATCCTACCAGGAGGATATCTACCCTAGGAGCCATTCTTTCCTCAATATATTACACCCTTAACCTCCTGTCATTCAGCAGAAACCTACAGGGAAAATGCAGATTATACAGGGGAGAACCTAAACACACAGGCAGCAGCAAAGGACAGGGAAGGAACAGGATCCCTAAAATGCAAGGCTGCCCAATAATTACATTTTCCTATTAAGTGGAAGTTCATAAAACAAATTCCCTCTTGAGACAAGCAGAGCTGGGTTTGCTGCAGAGCCTCAGGAAGGTGCTCAGTGAGGAGGGCAGTTGTGCTGAGGCAGAGCCCCAGCTCAGCCCTCATGAGGTTTGTGAGTACCCACACAGCTCAGGGGAGCCTGAGGGCTTGCACTCATGTGCATGAGAACATTTCAGAAACCCTTCTAGGACAACAATCAGGAGCTGGGGCAATATTTCCTGCAGTGAATCAAGTGACATCTATCAAGAAGAAGGGATGTCTCACACTGTGTGTACACAGGAAGATTTCTACAGTGTGAGCCCAACAGAGAGCCTGGCACTGAGTGCCCAACAGTGCCCCAAACATGCCAGCTGTGGTAGCAAAGATGTGGCACTTTTACCTGGGAAATCCATAGGGCACTATGGATGGGGTTACAACACCTACAGTCACAACAAAAGGCACTTTGGAGCCACCCTGAGAAGTCTCTGTTCACCAGGCAGAAGTTCCCAGCTTACACCACCTTTATTCCTTCCCTTTATTCCTTCTCCAGGAAAATATTTTCAATGTAAAGTAACTAATGTGGCTGGATTTTTTTAGAGGTTTGTTCACATAATCCATCACTGTTTTCTGTGCTGCCTCACCTTTATGGCATCACTAACACTCATAAGCAGCAATTATGGTATCATTTCACTGCACTTCATTTTAGTGTATTCATTCCTTCAAAACTATTTTTAAAATCCACACTGTCCACAGAAAAAAAACCAGTTTATTCTTGGTGACAGAGGGGAGCCCAGGCTGTCAGCTGGTCCTACAGCAGTGAGAAAGCAGTGCAACCCCAAGGTACAACATTTTCTGTACCAAGGCAAAAGGCCTGAAACCCTGAGCTGCAAGCTAGGCCCTTAGAAAAAGGCCTTTACTTACAAAGAATTAAAATTTCACACAGTTATACAGTGAGCTAAACAGGCATGCACAAAAGCATTAAGAATAATTTTATGGTATATAAATACATAGTAATTATTCCACTGAATGAAATCTCAGTGTCCTTTATTCTAAATACTACAGACACAAAAACTTTGTTGGTCAGTTACACATACTGGGAAAGAGAAGGGGTGGAGAAGTTCTGAAAATCATCAGAAAAGGCATTTTGAGAAAAAACATATCTTACTTGTTTAGGGTCATCAGTGAGAAGCCTAAATTTCCTGGGGTTTTTGCTCCTGGCAAACTTACAGCCATTGAAATACATACTCCATGAACAGCCAAATGAGAATGATGCTCCACAAGTTTCTGGGTCAAGTCCTTGACATGCACAAGAACGACTAGAAAAGGAAATAAAGACAGAGCAGGTCAGCTGGCAACACAGCTCTTGGCTCTGGGCTTTTTTCAGGTCAGTGCTATTTTGCTATTTCTTTTATAATACAGAGCATAACAAAGGAATTTGTGAAATTCATGGCTTAACCAGGTATTTTCATTAAGAAAATACTCCTGTATAGAGGGCTGACTTTTCTCCATGAAGACAGTCTCAACTTCCCCAAGACCAAATTTGGGACAGAAATATAAACAATTACAGCTATATAATAACACCCATGCATTCATTTTGACTTCTCCAGGTGCATAACATCTTCAACCAAGAAAATAGCCCTGCTACTTAACATTACCCTAAATCCAATAGCTCTTGTGTTATGTGCAGCAAAATCATTAACTCCAAATTGATTTTGACTTTCTGGGTAGACCCTTTAAGAATACAACCATTAGATTCAGGTTCCCATACAGCTCTCAGAGCCTGTTAAATGTGGGCTACACAGCAATCAGCACACAGACAGCACTGCAGTTGCAAGGTATTCTCTAATCAATTTAAATTCCTCTCAGAGGCACAGAGGAAGATCCTAGTTTTGAGTGTTCAGTCTCACATCTACTTTAAAAAGTCACAATCCCCCTTCTTGGCAGCTCTGTTAGCACTGCTGTGAGCACAGGGCACACTGCTGGTGTTTGGGCAGAGCCAGGAGCAGCTCATGGCCACTGCTTGCCTTGGGCATGGCACACACAGCTCCCATGGGAGCCTTGGGCATGGCACACACAGCTCCCATGGGAGCCCTGGGCATGGCACACACAGCTCCCATGGGAGCCCTGGGCATGGCACACACAGCTCCCATGGGAGCCCTGGGCATGGCACACACAGCTCCCAACAGAGCCCTGGGCATGGCACACACAGCTCCCACTGAGAGCCTTGGGCATGGCACACACAGCTCCCATCAGAGCCTTGGGCATGGCACACACAGCGCCCATCAGAGCCTTGGGCATGGCACACACAGCTCCCATGGGAGCCTTGGGCATGGCACACACAGCTCCCATCAGAGCCTTGGGCATGGCACACACAGCTCCCATCAGAGCCTTGGGCATGGCACACACAGCTCCCATCACAGCCTTGGGCATGGCACACACAGCACCCACTGAGAGCCTTGGGCATGGCACACACAGCTCCCATGGGAGCCCTGGTCATGGCACACACAGCTCCCATGGGAGCCTTGGGCATGGCACACACAGCTCCCATGGGAGCCTTGGGCATGGCACACACAGCTCCCATGGGAGCCCTGGGCATGGCACACACAGCTCCCAACAGAGCCTTGGGCATGGCACACACAGCTCCCATCAGAGCCTTGGGCATGGCACACACAGCTCCCGTGGGAGCCTTGGGCATGGCACACACAGCTCCCATCAGAGCCCTGGGCATGGCACACACAGCTCCTGTGGGAGCCTTGGGCATGGCACACACAGCTCCCAACAGAGCCCTGGGCATGGCACACACAGCTCCCATGGGAGCCTTGGGCATGGCACACACAGCTCCCGTGGGAGCCTTGGGCATGGCACACACAGCTCCCATCAGAGCCTTGGGCATGGCACACACAGCTCCCATCAGAGCCTTGGGCATGGCACCCACTGAGAGCCCTGTCTCCAGGAAAGGCCAGGACCAAGGTGTGATCCCACAGTGACAGCAGAGCTTTGGGGCTGCAGGTGTCCCTGGTGAGCTCCCAGCAGTGCTCTGGGGCTGCAGGTGTCCCTGGTGAGCTCCCAGCAGTGCTCTGGGGCTGCAGGTGTCCCAGCCTAGCTCCCAGCAGTGCTCTGGGGCTGCAGGTGTCCCTGGTGAGCTCCAAGCAGTGCTCTGGGCTGCAGGTGTCCCAGCCTAGCTCCCAGCAGTGCTCTGGGCTGCAGGTGTCCCAGCCTAGCTCCCAGCAGTGCTCTGGGGCTGCAGGTGTCCCAGCCTAGCTCCCAGAAGTGCTCTGGGCTGCAGGTGGCCCTGGTGAGCTCCCAGCAGTGCTCTGGGGCTGCAGGTGTCCCAGCCTAGCTCCCAGCAGTGCTTTGGGCTGCAGGTGTCCCAGCCTAGCTCCCAGCAGTGCTCTGGGCTGCAGGTGTCCCAGCCTAGCTCCAAGCAGTGCTCTGGGGCTGCAGGTGTCCCAGCCTAGCTCCCAGCAGTGCTCTGGGCTGCAGGTGTCCCTGGTGAGCTCCCAGCAGTGCTCTGGGCTGCAGGTGTCCCTGGTGAGCTCCCAGCAGTGCTCTGGGGCTGCAGGTGTCCCAGCCTAGCTCCCAGCAGTGCTCTGGGACTGCAGGTGTCCCAGCCTAGCTCCCAGCAGTGCTCTGGGCTGCAGGTGTCCCTGGTGAGCTCCCAGCAGTGCTCTGGGGCTGCAGGTGTCCCTGGTGAGCTCCCAGCAGTGCTCTGGGGCTGCAGGTGTCCCAGCCTAGCTCCCAGCAGTGCTCTGGGCTGCAGGTGTCCCAGCCTAGCTCCCAGCAGTGCTCTGGGCTGCAGGTGTCCCAGCCTAGCTCCCAGCAGTGCTCTGGGGCTGCAGGTGTCCCAGCCTAGCTCCCAGCAGTGCTCTGGGCTGCAGGTGTCCCAGCCTAGCTCCCAGCAGTGCTCTGGGCTGCAGGTGTCCCTGGTGAGCTCCCAGCAGTGCTCTGGGGCTGCAGGTGTCCCAGCCTAGCTCCCAGCAGTGCTCTGGGCTGCAGGTGTCCCAGCCTAGCTCCCAGCAGTGCTCTGGGGCTGCAGGTGTCCCAGCCTAGCTCCAAGCAGTGCTCTGGGCTGCAGGTGTCCCAGCCTAGCTCCAAGCAGTGCTCTGGGGCTGCAGGTGTCCCAGCCTAGCTCCCAGCAGTGCTCTGGGGCTGCAGGTGTCCCAGCCTAGCTCCCAGCAGTGCTCTGGGCTGCAGGTGTCCCAGCCTAGCTCCCAGCAGTGCTCTGGGCTGCAGGTGTCCCAGCCTAGCTCCCAGCAGTGCTCTGGGCTGCAGTGTCCCACCTAGCTCCCAGCAGTGCTCTGGGCTGCAGGTGTCCCAGCCTAGCTCCCAGCAGTGCTCTGGGGCTGCAGGTGTCCCTGGTGAGCTCCCAGCAGTGCTCTGGGCTGCAGGTGGCCCTGGTGAGCTCCTCAGGAGCACAGCAGCACTCACTCTTCGTTGAGGGCGCAGCGGCGGCTGGTGGGGCAGCCGTACTTGCGCAGGCTCTGCCTCAGCTCCTCGTAGAGCGTGTCTGCCAGCAGGTGTGGGATGCCCTCCCAGGCCAGGATCAGGATCACGATCACGGCCGTCTGGCAGTGGTGCCCCGCGCGCTGGCGCACCAGGCACAGCAGCTTCTCCTCGTCGCTGCTTCTCCGGATCACCTGCAAGAATGGTCTGGGTTACTCTAAGCATGGGCACTGCCTCAGGAGCTGCTCTCCTCTGGCACAAGTCAGGCCCGGAAAAGCAAGAAGGAAAAAGGAAAAAGAAGAAGAAAGAGAGAGAAAGAGAGAGAGAGAAAGAGAGAGAGAGGAAGAGAGAGGAAAGAGAGGAGGAAAGAGAGAGAAAGAGAGAGAAAGAGGAGAAGAAGAGAGAGAGAGAGAGAGAGAGAGAGGAGAGAAAGAGAGAAAAGAGAGAGAAAGAGAGAGAGAAAGAGAGAGAGAAGGAGAGAGAGAAAGAGAGAGAAAGAGAGAGAAAGAGAGAGGAGAAAGGAGAGAAGAGAGAGAAAGAGAGAGAAGAGAGAGAAAGAGAGAGAAGAGAGAAAGCGAGAGAAAAAAAGAAAAGAGAAAAAGAAAAAGAGAAAAAAGAAAAAGAGAAAAAAGAAAAAGAGAAAAAAGAAAAAGGAGAAAAGAAAAAGAGAAAAAAGAAATGCTGCCCAGAGAGTGTCCATTACTAGCAGGACTGGGACAGCATCACAGACCATCTCTGGTGTACAACCAGATTTTGTGCTGCTTTTTTCCCTGCAGTAGAAATAGCAGTACATTTTACAGGAGTAATATTTTAGGTGTTGTACACAAACAATAAAGAAGATGAATTGCAAGGAAAATAACCCCTAGAAGGACAACAGATCCCCTGAGAAGCCAACATTACCTTAAAAATACGACAGAAAACAGTGCCAAACACTCCAGAAGGCAGGTATGTGAAAACACACTGCCAAAAACACACACAGACACGTGCTAGGGCATCTACCACTGTTACAGATCAGTATCTAACATGGTTCCCACCTTGCAAAGAAAAATTAGAAGAATATTATGAAACAGACTGTGCTCTTAAGAGTGCTGAAGCTTTTGCTAACCTGTATGATACACAGAACAGCCTTATTCCTCACACCCAGACTAACCAGGATGGAACAGTACAGTACACCACTGAATAAAAATGGGAAAAAATTACAGTCCTATTCCCACATATTTAAGTTTTTGCCACAATCTGAAATAGAGCTGTATTTAAGACCACCAAAACCACATTAAAGCTAGGTAATACTAGAACATAATCTTTGAAAACAGGTTTATTTATTCATCCAATGTGTTTTAGCCAGCACAGCCTGCACAAAGCCTCCAGGTGTCAACTCTCCAGTGTGAAGCTTCCAGGCCCACAGGCTTGGCCCTCCCGGAGGCAGCAGAGGCTCCACCCTCCTCAGCCCTGTCACACACAGGCTGGGGCCCCGTCTGGCTCTCTCTGTGCCCCCCAGGCCCTGCACTGCAGCCCCCTGTGCCAGCTGTGCTGCAATGCACCTGCTCCAGGCATGCAGCTGCTCAGCCAGGCCCTCACCCAGCAGCCCTCCACCAGCTGACAGACAGCACTGGACCAGAAAAGCAGAAGGCAACAGTTCACTTGCTCTTTCAATACCTCCAAATAGCTGAGCATTCAGGCAGATTCTCTATTGGACTGATGGAAAATCTGCTTTGCTGCCAGATGTGCAGCTGTCATTCATATGTGACCTCTTAGCCTGATCACCTCTGAATATCCAAGTCATTTGGACTCATCAAAGCACACTTGCAGTTCATCTGTAAATGAAAAGGTTTGCAACCAATGGGCAGCTGGAGAGGGACCTGTGCAAGCTGAGCAGGAAGAAGCAAGCTTAAAGTTTGTGTCAAGAGATAAAGCATGGCCCTTCTAAAGTCAATCATATACTCTCACAATCAGCCTTAGGATTAATGAGAATATGAGTAAATGCCTCTGATAGACCATTCCTCAAAAGGAGTCTTGGTGGTGACTCCCCAACAGTTCAGTATGTTTTATAAGAAAGAAGAATAATCCAAGTCATTCACATTTGGGTGAAGTTTGCAGAAATCTGTTATGGCTGATTCACAATGCAGGTTACTTATGTCAATGTGGGTTTTACCTTGCTGAGGCTGCACAGTTCCTTCAAGCCAGAACAACTTCATTTTATTACTCAGTGTGAAATATTGCTTTTACTTTTCTTTTTTAAATTTAAAAAAAAATTAAAAGAATTTTATAGGAAGAAATCTATCATATATAAATAAATATAAATATATAAAAAAATATATAAGAAATTTCTAGGCTGTAACTTCAATAGCACAGTGTGGTACTGTACACCATCAGGTTGCCCTTTTTAAGTTCTCTTATACCTTTAAACTAGAAAGAATGTCCAGGAAAAATAACAAGTGAACACAAAGAAAATTTACAGTTTCCTTTAAACCAAGACCACACTTTTCTGGAGTTCAATGTAGCTGGAATTTGCTTCATTATGTATGGAGGGGCTTGACAGCTGGCCTGCAAGCAAAGCTGAGTTAATAGAAGAAATAATTGATGATTTTTGAGTGTATCTATAGCAAGGAAGAAGACAAGGCCATCAGCATTAGAAACAGATTAGAAAAGATACATGGAAATTTTTGTAAGCTACCTGCATAAGTAGATGTGCATATGTGCCTTATTAAATTTCTGTAAAACTTTTGCCAATTATATTGATACTAATTGCTTTGCACCAATGAACATGATAAGTTATTGTGATGTAGTTAATGACTGAAGATCACAGTTTGTGAAGAGTATATAAGCTGGAGAACACACAGAATAAAAACTTTTTTCTTCTTAGACCCTAATCCCATGTGTGTATGTCACATCCAACCTAACAACAACAATTGTGTACATAGCAGAGAATCCAGTATTTCTTACTGGACCCCAAAACATTTCAGAGTCCCTCACCCTTGAGGCTGCAAAGGGATTTATGAGTGGTGTGGATTTCATTGGAGGGTCAGGTTCCACCATGTGCTCCCCCAGCTCCACAGGCAGCACTCGTGTCCCTGAGATCAGGCACTGCTCCCACCTGGCACAGGCACAGAGAGCCCCCCCTGCCCAGGGCCAGGGCAGCCAGAGCTGGGGCCAAGCTGCTTTCCTTGGGAACTGAGGATTCCCTCCATGTCCTACCCCAACATCCTCACAGAAGCACTGAACTGAGTCTCTCTTGTGGAATAGTAATAAATCTGCAGCCATGCCACCCTCAATGTACAGAAAAGCAGTTTTGAGCAGGACAACTGAACTCTGGAGTGTTTCATCAGGCTGGGAACAATGCAGAAATCAGCTGGCAAACCTTGTGTCCAAAGGTTTTTGGTATTACTCATGATTTCTGTGATGTAGTTAGCAACAGTGATAAAGTAAATAACTTAATACTTCAGTTTGTTTAATTTTGGTCCCTAATGAATTTAAAAGGCATGAGAAAGTAATCATTTGTTAAGTGGGGGATCTTAAAAGCTAGGTTTTTAGAATGGGAAAATAAAAACCTTTCTCCTGCAATTGCTTTTCCACACAAGCTAACCATGACTGACTGTGTGACTCACACTGAAAAAATAACATAATCAACAAAACAGACTTGTAACAAGTTTGTGAAGCATTATGTAACACTGAAATGCAACAAGCAATAGCAACAGCCTCAAGTTGACCCAGGGAAGGTTTAGATTGGATATTATGAACAATTTCTTCACAGAAGGGACTGTCAGGCCTTGGCACAGGCTGCCCAGGGCAATGGAGGAGTCCCCATCCCCAGAGGAATTTTAAAGACATGCAGATGTGGTGTTTAGGGATGTGGGTTAGTGTGGGCTTGGCAGTGCTGGGTTAATGATGGCTCTCAGTGATCCTAGAGGGCTTTTCCAGCCTAAAGAATTCTGTGATGCCATGGTCAGCTCCTTGGAAGCTTGCAGGGCCAGAGCACCCCTGAGCTCTTTCAGGAAGCACTCAATGTCATCAGTGCCAAGTATCCACCAAGACTCCCACATTAACAATGAATAATCTGCTTCAGCTGCAGCACACAATGGCAGGAAAGAACAAAACCTACCAAACTTCTCCACAAAGCTCAACTGCTCCCCACTGGCCCTGCTCTGCACTCAGGAACAGAGCATGAAGTGACAAGGCCACTCATTCCCTCACCTGTGTGTGAACACACCCATGGCTGGGACAAAAGGAGACACTGCCATGGGCCACAGCCCCTGCACAGAGCTTCCCTGGAACACTCACACCTGGACACCCAGGGCCATCAGTACCATCCTTGCATTGCTCATTTGGGCAGGATGCTCAGTTATTTTGAGCATTTTTAACCTCAGGTTTGTCCATCCTCTGGTGCTGTAGTTGTGCACCCACCCCTACCATGCACTGCAGCTATCCAGGTGTCCTTGTGGGTGTCCAAAGGAAGGCAGCAACTCAAGTAATTCAATTTATCAGCTAGCCCAGAGAGTCTCAAACAGAATCTGAGAATATGAGCAAGCCTTCAAGGTGAGCCACAGCTAACTGAGACACAAACACAATCAACAGCTCTTAGGGCAAAACCCCACAGCTACATCTTTTTCTACAGCCACAAAGGTCTAGGCTTACCCACTTTTCTTACCAGAAAGCATGAGCCAAAAACTACAGCATATTTACTGAAGAGGTGCCTTATCCAGCAGAATTTGTTCCAGCAATTTAGAAACAAGTTCTGGGATAAACAAGAGAAGTTCAGATTTTTCACACCTTTGCATAAAAGGATAGTCAAGAGACAGAAAGGGATTCTAAAATTGCAGAGTACAAGAACGAGGTCAGAGCAGCAGATTGTCCAGCCTTATCCTGACCCTGAGCCTGGCTAACAGCAGTGCCCATGGATGAGCAGCAAAAAAGGCACTGGGATGTGCAGATGGTTCTCAGTGAGGGCAGGCACCCTCCAGCCACCCACCCAACAGCTCCGGGGATGTGTTCTCTCCCAGCTTTTTAAGGATTTGCCTTTTCTGCATTTCTGCACTCATTTTTAAATCCATGCAGCAATTTACCACCCACTAAATTACCAGGAAAGCTTAAATGCAGATTATGTGCAAGAAAAACCCATTGCCTTTTCCTCCTGCATAGCTCACTCCTTGCCCTCTAGCTCTGATCCAGGATGAGCCTGGCTAAGACCCGGCTGTGC